ATAATCAGCAGGCTAACAGATTCTTCTAATTAGCATTGTGTGGGTTTGTGTTGTTCAAGACATTATGACTTAAAGTGACCTTAAAGTGAACCTAGCATGGGTTTTACTTTGTAAAGTTTGATTGGAGGGGTCTTTGCCTCTCTTTCAAGCTGAGGTTGCTCAGTGAAATTTCATGGCTGAGCAGGGACTTGAACCCTGGTATCCAGAGGCATAGTGCAATGCTCATCCAACCACTACACCATGCTAGCTTTGTGTATGTGTATATACATATATATGTGTGCATGTGTACATACACATGCACACACAAAATATATGCACACAAACATATGCACTCATGCATATATCGAATTAAAAGTTCATATATCTGTCTACTATTCCGTTTTTTCAATGTATTTGTCACAAGGATGCATAACATATAGTCAAGCAATTTCTGCAGCTTATGAAATGCTGATTAAAAAATTCTTAGTGCCCTCTAGTGACAGTGAAGTAGCATTTGAGTTACAGGACAGACCATACAACCTGCTGTATATTTGTTCCAAAACTGAAACGTTCTTCCCATAATAAGATACAGAGCATGCATTCTGAAGATATATATCTATTCATGATGGAATCTATTGCTTCCTAGGCTGGTTCAAAATATGTATGTAAGAAAATATATCCTAGAATTCAAGATACTCAGCCAAATTCAGGGGAAACCGTATTGGCAATGCAGCAATAAATTCCAAAATCAACATCACTGAAATACCTTTCTTGGGCCAATAAAAAGCATGACATACAGTATGCATTCTTTTGAAGATCTAATGGCTTCTTTATCAGGCAAAGATGTTAAAAATTATATGGAGGGGAAAACTGACAATATTAGAGTCCTGGTTTTAACTTTTATGATGTTGCTTTTTTGTCAGGTAATTTTGTCTAGAAGGGACATCAATGCATGCTGAGGCCACTCCCTCTTTAGTCATTGGGGAATTAGCAAAGAGGAACCATAAAATGAAGCAATAAAATTTAAACTCCAATAAGAAAATATGTAGGAGGGTGACTCTGACATAGTCACTTTTTCCTCTCCTCCTGTATTAGAGGATGGCCATCTGTCTGGGGTGCTTTGAATGTGATTTTCCTGCTTCTTGGCAGGGGGTTGGACTGGATGGCCCATGACGTCTTCCAGCTCTATGATTTTTTAACCTTTGCCTAATGAAGAAGCTAATAGAATTTTGAAAGTTTGCATTATATTTTTATTTATTTTAGCTGGTATTGCTATTTTGTGGATTTTGGGATTTGTTGTATGTTTTGCTTTACCAGACACACACATATAATGAAAGAATATATTATCTGTCAACTTGATATTCATTTTAGGAATCAAAACACACTCAGAACTTACCGATTTGTTTGGATAACGTAGAATCACTGGTTGGACAGGCACGCCAGGGATAAATGCTCCTATAAGACACATGGAGTACATATAATTAGAACACTTTCTTTTTGCAGGCTTTTGATGAGCTTTGATTATGGGTGTGATCCAGACTTAGTCATACAAGTTCAGACTCACTAGAATTCATTGAGTCTCTGTAAGCATGGCTGCATTAAGCCCAACGTGAACTATGGTTCTGTTGCCCTTGTATTTAGACCAGTGTTTCTCAACCTGTGGGTCCCTAGATGTTTTAGCCTTCAACTCCCAGAAATCCTAACAGCTGGTAAACTGGCTGGGATTTCTGGGAGTTGTAGGCCAAAACACCTGGGGATCCACAGGTTGAGAAACACTGGTTTAGAGTGATTTATTTATTTATTTATTTATTTATTTATGTATTTATGTATGTATTTATTTATTTGATTCGGGGAGGGGGGGCTGAGTCTGAGTGAAAGAGGGTCTACCCTAGCAAATCTTTTGTATTCTTACCCCAATACCCCCATGCATATGGGATATATTGAGCATGGTGATCAGATCATGATATGAATAAACATAACAGTTTAAATAATGTACCAGTAAGGCCTTTTCGCGAGACCACCATGAGAATTTCGGGGGGGGGGGGCTGAAGCCCCCCAAGCCCCCCCCCCCCCCGGCTACATGCCTGGCTTACAGTATATGTCCTTTCAATGTTCTGAGTGTCATCTACCAGAGACATAAAGAAATCTGAACCGAAAGAGTATGCAGACATGCATTTAGTTCTAAGCACTGAAAACAACAGAAACATGCACAAAGAACAAGATAGTAAAATCTGAAGACCATATCCAAATCAATTTGTAAAATGGCATACTTTCTTCTTCTTTTCCTTTTTTTTAACTGCCTGGTTTTTCCAACCTGGAATACTAACCTCTCAACATTCCAGTAAATCTTTCCAGTAAAACAAGCTTTTCTGAATTTTTGCTTAAACCCAAAAGATCTCTTTCCAAAGCCATTTCCCACATATATTGAAGACCACTGTTGTTTACTTACAAACTAGTGAAACCTGTTGAACCAAGGAAGCTAAATCTAGGCCTCTTTCACTCTCTTTGTCTCGACAACAGAGAAAATTACAGAGACTAGGATTATTAAGACAGGCTTCTGAAATTCAGGCTCACTGTTGATTTAACATTTGAAAGTGCATTTCCTAGAAGTCTATATAAGAATGGTGCTTTGAACTCACGCTCCACAAAAGGTCACATTCACAAACAGGATTAAGTAGTAGCTAAATCAGCAATTCTTTGGATCTCCCACAACAGAATACAGCATTTTGAATTGTATATTTCTTTATCTCTGCATCTACAGTTTCATATGTTTACTATTCCAATTCCCTCTCTCTTTCTCTCACAAACATACTTAGTTGGGTCTGTGTGACTGATTGAGGCTAATTCCAAATGAAATTGGGCCAATTTTATGATAAAATTATATTAACTTGGTTCTGGGAAGGAATGGCACAATCAAAAATATATTCAGACTAATGTGGAGGTTCAGGTGTCAAAAAATACACAGGGGAACCAAGACAGCGTGTCTCCAGAGGACTGTACAAGGAAAACACTGCAGTGGTATGAGAGAAGTGAGCTGCCTTTTGTTGATCCTTATCTGTAATATGAAATCTGGAGCAAGAATTTCACCAGGGCTTTCCAATCACAGTGTTTATGGGAAGAAATTATATGAAATCAACATAAACATCTCCTGAGGTGTTTAGGCATTTCTGTCTTTAGATATTGGGCTGTTTGAAAAGTATGTTTAAAATAACTTAGCCATTTCAATGAGCCAGCTTTATTGAGGGTGGCAATATCTTTCTGAGCTTTTATATCCAGTATTCGTTGTGCAACCATTTTTATTTATTTATTATTTTATTTATTTACATCACTTATATCCCGCCCATATCAGCCCGCAGGCAACTCAGGGCAGTCTACATATCGGCACAATTCAATTTTTGGATCTAATTCTTCTAAGAGATTTGGATAAAGAATCAGAAGTCCGCAACTTCTAATGTGTTTTGTCAATTGTACTAGCCAAAAGGTCTAATGCTGATTTTTTGTCTGCTCCAACAGACACAGACACATAGTTATATGCCCTAATCTTGCATAAGCCATCAATTGTATATACTCCCAATTCGATTCTTACTGCAGCAGTTGGGGTCCTGCTATCCATACTCACTATAGGCAGCATATAAGAAATCACAGATTTCGAGGGCATTATACAGGGTGAGGCAGCATAACTTCCTTTTTTAAAATGCACGCCATTCAGTCGGTTGAAGACCTAGTGAAGCGCTAGTGGTCTCGTTCGAGAGGTGGGAGTATAAAGTTTTGTCCTGATACAGTTCAGTCGCCATCATGCGTTGGAACAGTAAGGAGCATGCTTTTGCCATTGAGGCCTACTTTTCGAGCGGATTTGGAGTGGCTGGCCCGCTCTCCAGATTTGGCCCCTTGTAATTTTTTTCTATGGGTTTTTTGAAATCCTGTGTTTATGTGAACCGTCCAAGGACCCTACAAGATTTGAAGACCAACATCCAGGAAGAAATTGCCAACATAACCTGCTATGCTGGCAAGAGTCATGACAAACGCCAGAAATCGGTTTACTCAGTGTATGGAGAATGGGGGACGTCACCTATCTAATTTGATCTTCAAAACTACGTAAAACAAAACTTTAGGTATGCGCCTACATTATATAAAAAAAAATCTGATTCATACAATGGGTTTTATTAAGTTTTGAAAAAAGGAAGTTATGCTGCCTCACCCTGTAGAACCAACACTGTACTATATAACACCAGTATAGTGTACAAGTACTCTATACTTGCACAAAGCAACAAGGCCAATAACAGGAGAAGAAAAATACCAGGACCCAGGGAGAAAGAGCAAGGCCCATAGGGCTAGAATTCTGGGAGTAGGTTTCATCTTTTCGTATTCCCAAGTGAGAAGACTAGCCAGGGAATGATGTAAGGAAGGAACCTGGGGAAAGCCAATTTAAAAAAATAGTGCACTACTTCCATCCACCTCAGCTCTTGTTTTTTACTGGCACTTCTTCGGTGCAGTTCATCTACTTTAAAGTTTGGGGGACTCTTGTGGCTCTAAGAATATGCTCCTGATACAAGTGAGACTATGACAGGATGCAAGCAGCATGGATGGCACTCAACTGTATAATATGACTTTAAAATGTGTTGAGGGGTTGTTTTTTTAAGAGAAATAAAACTTTATAAAGATGCCAAGTACAAAATTCCATAAAGCTACTGGTCTTTCATTTATCAGGATTCATCTCCAATGTCAGGTCTGCGATGAACCCACATTTCATGCATATATTGGGAGCGGGGGGGGGGGGGGGGGGGATTGAAAAAGTTATAGCTGGTTTTATTTCCCAAAGTATGTCAATAAGAGGGCTGGTGATCTGGATTTCTACATCTTGGTCCAGCTCTGGGTTTAGATCAGATGGATTCCAAATCAACCAGAGCTGGATCCATGTTGCCAGACTGGGCTTTGAACTGAATCAGGAGATTCTTGCACAATCTCCACCTACTTAGCTGTCTGTCTGTGTAGTAATTTAAAGTACTTCTAAGTATGAAAATAATTAAAAAATCTGCATGCTAGATCATCAGTCATCAAACTCAGTTTGCTTTCTAACAATGAAGTCCGCAGTAATGGCTTGGACCCATTCCATCAACTTCGACCAGCTACCTCCCAAACAAACACTCCCCTAGAGGTTGTAGAAGGACTGCATTTACACAAACTAGCTACTGCTTTTACTTTGTTCATTTTGGATGAGATCAGATGTAGCTATGTAATAGATCCCTTAGTAACATGTAGACTGGATTACTGCATTCTGTTCTGCATAGCACATTTTAAAGATTAATTAACTTTTAAAAACCATATCTTCTATAGCAATGTTCCTCAGGCTATCTGATGTGGGTGAATAGCAATTACATTTTTCCAGTGCACCAGGGACCAGCACCATATTTGTGCTCATTAACAACAATTGTTTCTTTCCCGGAAACATCCAGGGACAGGCAGTAGTGCTGTCCTGTATTACAATCTGAGAAGCACTGCTCTGCATTACAATGTGACATATATCTTCTATCATTTTATACTATAATTTAAAGTAATAATAAATTACATGATTATATTATACTGATATAATTAACATTAATCTGGGATATACCGAAAAAGATATTTGCATCTGTATGTATAAACCCTTACTTTAGCCTTCATTGTAGTTTTGTTAGAAAGCAAACTGAGTTTGATGACCTAGCATGCAGATTTTTAAATTAGATGCTATGGATTTATATTTTTATCGGTTTTATTTTATTTTATCAAATGTTATTTATGCTAAATATTTTAATTGTTCTTTGTTTTGTAGGCACTGAATTATGCCATTTGTAAACCGCCCTGAGTCACCTTCGGGCTGAGAAAGGCAGTATATAAATATGGTTAATAAATAAAATAAATAAATATAAAATACAGTAGGCACATACACACAATTTTTGTAGATACATATGTCAGAACCCATCAACGTAGGACAATAAAGTACAGGTTATAAAGGGACCCTGCAATGCTGCTCAAGACTCATATAAAGGGATATCAGAACAGATTTATTTTACCACCTCCCTCTTCTGAAAGAGCTAAGCAAAAGGTAGTATTATCATTCTCTTAGTTATGATGCTTGAATTGGCTAGCATATTGGCTAAACTTTAGGGTTTATCAAAACATAGTAACACAGACAAACAAACTGGGGGCACATCTACCACTTAAGGCAGTTTGAAGGTAGCTTGGAAATATGGTGTTTATATGACACATACCATGAACACATGCTGCAGCACACTTTAAGGTTTTTAAACCAAGATAACCAAAGTTGAAGAATACTCCAAAACAGAGTCCTTAATGTGCACTAATGTGATGTAGTGTAAACCACACTACATGACAAAAGTGATTAAGAGATAAGATGCTCCAACAATTTGCACATGTGAATTATGGATGGGAGAGTTGAAAAAAATCCCTGCATTTTCTGTAGCTGTCAAGCCGCAAATGCTGCGGATCCTGCAACCTGGTCGAGGTCAGTCTCTGCAGTGCACCATCCAGATCTCGAACTGATTCCAGGATTTCCTATCTTACTATTATTATTTATTTATTTCCAGCAGTCCTATCCAGTCCTTCTCAACCCCCAGAGGGGGACTCAGGATGGCATATGCTCGGCAACAATTTGATGCTGCAACATACAGTAAATACAACATAACAACAATTTAAAACAATAGATAAAAAACATTAATTAAAAACAATTTAAAAACATTATAGAATCATAGAATCAAAGAGTTGGAAGAGACCTCGTGGGCCATCCAGTCCAACTCCCTGCCAAGAAGCAGGAATATTGCATTCAAATCACCCCTGACAGATGGCCATCCAGCCTCTGCTTAAAAGCTTATCATTCATATAACCATTCCAATCGAATTCCACATCCAAAGTGCTGTTATGCCTGCTGTTCAAAAGCCTGGTCCCAGAACCATGATTTCAATTTCTTCCTGAAGGACAGGAGGGATGGAGTCGACCTTATTTCGCTGGGAAGCGAGTTCCATCGAGAAGGCCCTGTCTCTCGTCCCCGCCAAACGCATTTGCAAGGCTGGCAGGACCGAGAGCAGGGCCTCCCTGGATGATCTTAAACTGCGAGGCGGGACGTAGAGGGAGATACTTTCGGACAAGTAAGCTGGGCCAGAACCCTATAGGGTTTTATAGGCCAAGACCAGCACTTTGAATCTAATCAACCATTTCCTTCTCTGCTGGTTTCACATCAACTTAAGTGCTCAGTGGAGATGTGCCCCAAGTCTCCTAGTAATCTGCAGAGGACTGGTGGGCACATTTTCCTGTCCTAATCTTTGGCAAATATTTCCATATTGATTAACTGATTTTATTGAATGATGAAATGGGGATCATACAAGTATGGAAATAATGATCTACACAAAAGTAGAACACAAAGTGGCAGTAAAAGAAAACAACGGAACACTCTTTCTCCTTCAAAATCATAGTACAAAAAGCACAGAAGTTCCAGCTTCCTTCTTCATTAGGAAGGTCTTGTGCATACTTGGAAACATTTTTAAAATTCCATACATTTAGAGAACCGAGCTAGTGGCATTAATACTCAGAAAAGATTAGGTTGCCATAGTAAGGTTTTAAATATTTGAGGCCAAACTGTTTTCCAAACACACCCTCACTTACATTGATAACAGAATGTTGAAAAACTTCCAGTATGACCGAACTTAAACTAGATGATAGTAAGCAAGTGTAAGGACAGAATACAAGACACACAGAGAGATGAAATGACAGAATGGCATTTCAATTATTTTAGTAACTTGGATACTATTAGTAGTCCCAGCTAAAGTAGACCCACTGAATCAATTGTTGATTAGTATGTCAAAACTTTTGCAAATTTCAGTGATTTATTCATTTTCCTCTAGTTCAGTGGTTTTTTTGATCAGGGGGCAATCTCAAACATTAGTACCAGCAACCGAATGTTTGCCTTACATATTGGAAATCGCCCAGAATCCCTTTGAGGAGATAGGGCGGTATACAAATAAATTATTATTATTATTATTATTATTATTATTATTATTATTATTATTATTATTACCAAAGGGGTTATGAATCAGTTTTTGGTCCACTTTAGATTCAATTTGGTTATTTCAGAAAAATGCATTGGATAGACCACATCAGCTCTAGCTTCTGATACAGAACATATGCCATTCAGAAGTTGCCATCTGCTTGCCCACAGAAAACTATAATTAATAAGCCTCGGCACTATAAGAGGGTTTTACGAGACCAGTTGCTCTTGTTGCAACAGTGTAGTAAAGGTGAGGCTGCGGAACATATTTTAGTTGTTGCGGACCACTGGTGGTCCACGGACCACAGGTTGGGAACCACTGCTCTGTTGGAACTGATAAAAGCATTGAGGCCAGAATTATTTTATTTTAATTTTTTTTGAGCATTTCTACCCTGCCCTTCCCAACTCCCTAGGGGGGCCTCAGGGCGGCTACCAGCCGGCACATATTCGATGCTTACATTTAAACACAATACAATACATATCACAGTAATTATAAATAGTTAAAACATTAAATTATTACAATAAAATCTCATAGAAAAAGCCAGCTTGGTGGCCATCATTTCGCCAAGTTCCGTAATTAGTAAGCCATTCAGCTTATCATAGTCGTTTCCAAAGCTCCTTGTCGTCATTTTCCTTGTCAATCTGCCAGATTACCCAAAGGCCTGGTCTCATATCCATGTTTTTAATTTCGTTCTAAAAGAAAGGAGGGATGACGATGATCTAATTTCCCCGGGGAGTGAGTTCCACAGGCGGGGGGGGGCGCCACCGAGAAGGCCCTGTCCCTCGTGCCCGCCAGTCTCGTTTGTGACACGGGCGGAGCCGAGAGCAGTGCCCCTCCAGAAGATCTTAAATTCCTAGGCAGGATGTAGAAGGAGATACGTTCAGACAGGTACGCTGGGCTGGAGCCATATAGGGTTTTATAGGTCAAGACCAGCACTTTGAATTGTGCTCGGAATTGGATCAGCAGCCAGTGGAGCTGATATAGCAGAGGGGTGGTATGCTCCCTGTATGATGCTCCAGTGAGTAATCTGGCTGCTGCCTATTGGACTACTTGAAGTTTCCGAATAGTCTTCAAAGGCAACACCATGTAGAGCGCGTTGCAGTAAATTAGACTCATTACATTTGTGTTTTTTTCTTTTTTTTCCCATTAACAGCACTTTTACTTTTTTAACGGTTCGAACAACACATCTAATATTTAGATACTTAATTTTTCAACTTACCATTAAAAACAAGATGGCTACTAAACACAAGAGCCAATTTGCATACTACAATATATAGATTCTTTTTATTTATTTTTTTGTTGCTAAAGTCTGATATCATCTTTATGCAATGTTTCACAAATATCTGAGTTTCTGAAAGCCGTCACAATTTATAGGTCACAAATGCAGGTCTTTTTTACATTTCCAGATATACAATTTTTTACAGAAAAGTTACAGCTAACAAAACAAACAAACAAAAAACAAAGTGGTATGCATTTGCTGTGACAAATGAAGTGGCCCTTGGCATCATGGATCAATGAGTGGCATGTTTCGGAATCTAATGTTACACAGACAGGGCACAGAAAAGGAAGGATGTACATAATACTTACCAGGCTTGAAGGTAATTAGACAAGATCGATTAGTGCAGGTTCCTTCTGGGAATATCATTATCTTAGAAACAGAAACAAAACTTCTATTACAAATTATTTTTATACTTCCTGTGCATCTTTCTCGTAAAGTATATTTCAAAGTCAGAATGTAAGCTTTTAGCGGTAACCTCAAAATGCTGCTAAATAAAGCATTTGTGAGAGTTTCAAGAACTCAAGGTTATTCCCCAAGGTATTCTACAAAATGCAACATTATGAAAGAATATCTGGAAGGCGGCCCAGGTATCTTTGAAGCACTATTATGTTTCAAACTCTTGAAACCAGATGCCCTCTCAGTTGGTAAGACAGAAATGTGAAAGGATTTTCCACACTCCATGGACACATGAATGAGAACCATGGACCAACCTCACATTCTTTATTATCTAGTGTAGACTTCACATCATTTGGAAGAACAATCACATCTCTTCTAAAGCTTCTGTATGTACTATTAGTGTTTATGAATGTTAAGTAAATATAAATGACACTAAGCAGTGGCAACAGTCATTCTGTTACATAAATGTGGACTGGAGACATATTGCTGTTCCTCACATAATAGTTGTACCTTTTATTCACTCACCCCCATATCTGCCCATTTGGCGCTACAAAGCCTCATTTGCCCAGATGCCTGCCCGCTTTGCAGTTATGAGACTTTCCTTGCCTGCAAAAAAATTTAGTGTGTAATAATCACCACCACATAGTAGTTGCATTCCTTTTTTCGATGCAACTATTATGTGGTGAAATATGGGAGTCTACTTATATTTTTAGCTTTTGTATAATGTAAATTCTAGCTGTATCTATATTAAGTTTTGTAAGTAACCTTGAGTTCCAGATTGGAAAAAATATAGGATTATATAAATATCATCATCATAAATCATAATTCCCCCTCTATGGCAGATAGAACACTACATATGTTGAAGAACCTCTACAGCAGGGGTCCTCAAACTTTTTAAACAGAGGGCCAGGTCACAGTCCCTCAAACTGTTGGAGGGCCGGATTAAAATTGAAAAAAAAAACCATGAATGATTGTCTATGCACACTGCACATATCTTATTTGTAGTGCAAAAAAAATTTTCTAAAACAATACAATAATTAAAATGAAGAACAATTTTAACAAATGTAAACTTATGAGTATTTCAATGGGAAGTGTGGGCCTGCTTTTGGCTGATGAGATAGGATTGTTGTTGTTGTTGTTGTTGTTGTGTGCTTTCATTTCAGACATAGGTTGATCCTGAGCGAGGGCCAGGTAAATGACCTTAGAGGGCCGCATCCAGCCCCCGGGGCTTAGTTTGAGGACCCCTGCTCTACACTAAACTAGGCTTGTTCAACCCATGTGTTCCCAAGTATGACAGAGGTCACATGTAGCTCAGGATACCTATGAATGCAACCCAACACAAAATTTTAAACTTCATTAAAACATTATGAGTTTTCTTGTGATTTTTTGTAACTAGATTGTGTGTTTCTCAAGTGTAAACTTTGTAGATGACAACGAAATGGAGTGGAATAATCAGAATATGTTATATCCACAAATAACAGAGTATTATCTATCATTTGCATTATAATTACAAACAGTTCAGTCTGAAGACTTGTTCAACAATTTTAAAAGACTCCTAAAACTGGACAATGCATTAATTAGGATTATGACATGAGGAGTTTTGCTCAACCCAAAAATTATTCATGATCTTTTTCCTCATCAGCCATTGTTAGTAGCATTGTATTTTATGTGTGACCCAAAACTAATCTTCCTGGCCCTGGAAAGTCAAAAGGTTAGGCATCCTTGAAATAAACAAACCAGCTTGGCACTGGAAATTATTATAAAAGGGAACTAATCACCAGAATAATATGTATGAAAACAACTTGATAAAATGGCAGCAAAGGAGAAATCTCAGAATTAAGTCTGGGAAAATGAACAAGTCTGTGCCAGGTGCACAAACGAGAAGCGCTTCTCTGGGGAAAGAATTCCATAATCACAATGCCATCACTGAAAAGGCCTTTCCCAGATTACCATCTGCCTCACATCTAATTAATTAATAGGCTGAACAGTGTTCTTCCATGACATTTAAGATGTCTGTGTTATTGGCTTGACAGTTTAAATGTATGAACCATAGCAAATTGAATGGTTTATTCTGTAAAATATCTACTGCAAATTGATTTGTTTCTAATTCATACTGAGGCTTGGAATATAGCCCAGCTAAAGGGCTCCTGGCCAGAGGATAGTACGTTCCCTCTAAGAATCAAGGTGTGTCTGTGCTTGGAACTGTAGAGCGGAGGTACATACAGGGCTGCTTAGGCTACTGTGCCACATGCATATCCCCTAATTATATCTGAATTAGTGCAGTATGTTCACCTTAGAGGTGCATTTTTTTAAAAGTGTAACTGATCCACAATTCAAGAATCTGAATGTTGTGTGCTTGCTTTTGAGATCATGTCATACCTACAAGGAATTATGTAAGAGCTACAACATTTAGTTTGTTTCAGCCACAATACAAAGTGCTGGCACTGATCTTTACAGTTCCAGATGGCTTAGACACAGAAACTCAAGGAACCATGTCTCCTCATGGCAATCTGACTGCGATTACACTCTTTTCTGTGTTTCCAAGTATGGCAGAGGCACATAATATTATAATATAATATTATAATATAATAATATAATGCAATATAATCTACTACTACTACTAATATAATATTATAATTATATATTTATAGGTAAAGGTTTTCCCCTGACATTAAGTCCAGTCATGTCTGACTCTGGGTTGTGGTGCTCATCTCCATTTCTAAGCCAAAGAGCCAGCGTTGTCCATAGACACCTCCAAGGTCATGTGGCAGGCATGACTGCATAGAGTGCCGTTACCTTCCCGCCGGAGCGGTACCTATTGATCTACTCACATTTGCATGTTTTCAAACTGCTAGGTTGGCAGAAGCTAAGACTGACAGCGAAAGCTCACGCTGCTCCCCGGAATCGAACCTGCGATCTTTTGGTCAACAAGCTCAGCAGCTCAGCGCTTTAACCCACTGCACTACCGGGGGCTCCTATATATTTATATTACATGTAATATTACTAATAATATTACAATATAGTGGTATAGTACAATATAGTAATATTTAATAGATATTGTACTATGCTAATAATATAATATATCTTGTAAGCCGCTCTGAGTCCCCTTCAGAGTGAGAAGGGAGGCATATAAATGTCGTAAATAAATAAATAAACTAAAGTGGAGTAATCCTAAACGATGTATTTTTTTTCTAGGAAGTTAGCCTAGCACTCCTATGGTGGCCTCTCACAACATTGCAAGGACTTTCCTGTCCAGGCAAGCATTTCCTTCATGGGTTTTATACTGTTTTGTAAATTTACTGAATTGGAGCCTTCAGTAGCACATTGGGTTAAACCCTTGTGACGGCAGGACTGAAGATTGACAGCTTAGAGGTTCGAATCTGGGGAGACAGCGGATGAGCTTCCTGTCAGCTTCAGCTCCCCATGCAGGGACGTGAGAAAAGCCTCCCAACAAGGATGGTAAAACATCAAAACATCCGGGTGTCCCCTGGGCAAAGTCCTTCAGACAGCCAATTATCTCACACCAGAAATGACTTGCAGTTTCTCAAGTCGCTCCTGACATGAAAAGAAGAATTTTATTGAATTGTAGCTCTAGTTTCATGGTTATTAGAAACCCCGAAGTGGTGTGTAAATATCAGAAAGGTCAAACACCATGAACTTTATGCAGGATTTAGTCTGGGGTATTTAATTATTGGTCTTGGTTGTTGCTGCTTGGACTGCTGTGTAAGTGAAAAACAAAAACAAAAAAAGATAAAGTAGATTCTATTTTAAATAAATCAATAATGCTGGCTTCAAAACATGCATAGTTTTGCCTCTAGTATATTCTTTTCATAATAGGGAATGTTTAGATATAATCTACTTGCTAGATATGGTTGATCTGTCATTACAAGATTAAGTACATTGACCTAATGTTTATTTGATTTTGTGAAAAAAGCAGCAGGCAACAATGGAATAGTGAAAACAACAAAATAATCAACAGAAAATAAGAAGCAACAGAAAACTAAGTGGAATGTTCTTTTATTGATTGCTGTTTAGAGGATTCCTTGAAAAACCAAATCTTGTCCAGATAGCTAAGTGAACTTTTTAAAAATGGGAATATGAACATCCTTTCAGGAAAGATTCCCAACTAAAAGGTCCACACCCTTGTGTTTATTTTATTGTATTTATTTCCAACATTTCTACCCCGTCCTTCTCAACCCCCGAAGGGGGACTCAGGGCGGCTTACAACGGCAGCAATTCGATGCCGACAACATACAAACACATTACAACATTAGTTCTCCCACTAGTCTATGTGAAACACAGACTGGGATCCTTGCTACTGACAGGTATATAAAATGTGGATTATATTCTTTTATCTTTAAAGCACATTATTTTTTTTTCATCCATACCTGAGGCCATTTTCCATTAGATTGAGCACGCCGTCTTATCTCCTCAACAGTTTTTCTGCGAGAATCCTGATCTGATCGAGATACAAACACAGGTCGGATGTATTTGATCAGAGCTGGAAAGAAACACAGATGTCAATACTTCTAAGTACAGTCTTTTATTCTTTAGCTGGACTAAACCAAGCATGGATAAACTTTGGCTCTCCAGGTGTTTTGGACTTCAACTCCCAGAAATCTCAGCTAGCTTACAGGATGTTAAGAACTGTGGGAGCTGAAGTCCAAAATACCTAGAGGGCCAAAGTTTGCCCAAGCCTGGACTAAACAATACAATTTTGCAGCTGCACTACAAAAAATGACAACACAAAATACTTTTAGCTACCTGTTAGTTACTGCTAATGCTTTTAATTTACCTGTTTCCCTACCTAAATAAATAAATATAGTTGCATGCCTTCAAATAATTTCTGATCATCCTAAGATGAACCTATCACAGGTTGTTCTTGTCAGGATTTGTTCAGAGAGAGTTTGCCTCTACCTCCTTCTCAGGCTGAGAGAGTATGAGTTGCTCAACTTTATCCAGTAGGTTTCCATAGCCAAGCATGGATTCGAACCCTGGTTTCCAGTTCCACTCTCAAATCACTATATCATGTTTAAAAAATGTTATTTCATTCTTTTTTTAACTTGTATAAAGTAAGATTTTAGCTTAATGTTGTTAACGTTACTGGAAAACATCTTAGAATAATAGACTTGGAAGAGACCACATGGGCCATATAGTTTCTAGGTCATATTTTTCTATCTACTGTTCTTGTTGCTAAAACATAGAAAGCTGTGGTAGGAAAGAAGCAGGTTAGTACATCATTGTATAAACTGGTCCATGCCATCTGGCAGAGACTTCCCACCAGTAAATAATTAAACAAGAAGTATGTACATTTCAGTCCACTGTAATTTCTGTTATCTCTTCCCCATTCCCAATAAATGCCACACTGGAAATCATTGGAAGTGGTTGAATTCAACGTTTCTTAAAAAAAAAACCCTGAAGCACTATCTATAGTTTAGCTTTCCATTCTTTAACGCTAGATGATCCACATACAAAATGTGTTGTCGAAGGCTTTCATGGCCGGAATCACTGAATTGCTGTGAATTTTACGGGCTGTATGGCCATGTTCCAGAAGCATTCTTTGATGACATTTCGCCCACATCTATGACAAGCATCCTCAGAAGTTGTGAGGTCTGTTGGAAACTAGGCAAGTGGGGTTTACATATCTGTGGAATGTTCAGAGTGAGATAAAGGGCTCTTGTCTGCTTGAGGCAAATGTGAATGTTGCAATTGGTCACCTTAATTAGCATTTAATGGCCTTGTAGCTTCAAAGCATGGCTGATTGCTGTTTGGAGGGATCCTTTGTTGGGAGGTGTCAGCTGGCCCAAACACAAATCAAGTAATATGAAAGACATTGCAGACTATTTCAGCCAGAGAAGTCAGCCATAGCAGAGTACCTGATGAACTAACCTGGCCACAGTATATTATTTGAGAAAACAGAAATGCTGGACCACTCTCACAACCACCATGTCAGACTACACAGAGAAGCCACTAAAATCCACAAGGATGTGGACAATTTCAACAGAAAGGAGGAAACCATGAAAATAAACAAAATCTGACTACCAGCATTTTAAAAAAAACTCTAAAATCAGGACAGTAAATAAAGTGCAACACCAAAAAAACAACAACAAACAACAAAAAAACAGGGGAATTCAAGACAAGAAACAATCAGGGCCAGCTAACATCTCCCAACAAAGGATTCCCCCAGGCAGTAAGCAACCAGGCTTTGAAGCTGCAAGGCCATTAAATGTTAATCAACTTTCCTAGTTTCCTACAGACCTCACAAGCTCTGAGGATGACTGCCATAGATGTGGCCGAAACATCAGGAGATAATGCTTCTGGAACATGGCCACATAGCCTGACAAACTCACAGTAACACATACAAAATATCTGTTTCTGTATGCTATTTGCTACATCTGTGTAGGTTTAATAGAAGTCCAAAGGTATAGACAAAGATAATAAGTAACATAATTTCATATTATTAACCAAAAGATCCCTCTGATAAAATCATAAACTAGAAGAGATTACCAAGAGTTTTACCAAATGATATTCTGTGTCACAAACAGAGTAAAGACATATACCAATCCATTTCAACAGAGGTTTTTCACCGGGTTACAACAGCAGGTTAATACAGCCATCAAAATTACCAACACAAAAAGCATAAAAGCATTAGCTGCAAGATAAAATTGAAAGACATGTTTAGAGGCTAATTATATGTTACACACTGACTAATTACACACTCATGTAAAAGCAAAACCACTTTAGCGGAAGGAAATGTATAGCAAAGAATTGGTGGTGGGGAGGAGGGGGGGGGGTGAGAGACTGCTTTCCCTGCATGTTTCTACAATTCTTCTCTACCCTAGATTCAAAATAATGAAGTAGGAAAAAAAGTTATCTGCTCCCACATTTGCCTGTTACATAATGTTCCCAAGCCTGCAGCAGCACTGTGTTTTAAAATAATAAATATTGGGTTATCATGTAAGTGGAGCTAGCCCTCTTAATGTCGCTGTACTGAGCACGAAAGAGGAATAATTCAGCATTGTACTTCTTGACAAATATGATGCCCAAACTTATAATAGGTAAAAGCTGCAGCTCAAGGTTAGGAGAAATGTTTTTTCAATGAACTTCACTCTTGGAAACTAGTCCAAGTTAATGGTCACAGAAATCCACAGAACAAAGAATTCTAGGAAATACATCTTGTCAAATGATGTTTGCATACAAAAATACCTTGGCAGTCACTCCATATAAATGACTCAAAAAGCATCGAAGGAAACTTTGGGTTTCAAGATGTTTGGGGAAATCTCATGCACTTTCTTCATAGAAAGAAAATCCAACTTGGAGCCGACTCTTTGGCCAAGTAAAGGCTTTGTAAAACTACACCTCCGATGGTTCAATAGCATTGAACCAAGACAGTTAAAGTGGCATTAAACTGAATTAATTTCACAGTGCAGATGCACCCCCAGTTGCCCATGGCTAATCCCCCAGCAGGAACTGTGTACAGAAGCATCCTCAAACTACAATGCTTCTGATACTGGTGGCGGCATGTCTTATAATATTACTTTATTTACACCTCACCACCATCTCCCCAAGGGGACTCAAGGCAGCTTACATGAGGCCAAGCCCAATAACACATCAGTAAAAACAAAACAGCAAGCAAATAAAACAATACAATTAATATAACTCACATATAAACAATAACACAGAGAATTTAAAACCTTATGGCTGGGCCAGATTTAAGAAATTATTTTTTTTTAAATAAATACTGGGCGTGAACAGAGGTAGGATGTATCTAAGCAAGAGGGTTTTAAAAGATATTGTAGAAAGACCAACCCAATGGGTAGTAAGGTGCTTCTTTTTTTAAAAAAATATTCTTTATTGAAGTCTTCATATTATACAATTATTAAAATAAGATAGGATAGAATGAAGTATAGAAAGAAACTTAAAGGAGGAAGAGAGGAAAGAATAGGGAATGGGAAGGGAAAGAAAGCAGAGGGATTTCAGGGGGGAAAGGGGGGGAAGAATATAGAGGGAAAGAAAGTGAGTCAGCAAAGTAGGCTGTAGGAAAGTATCGAAGTGTGTATTTAAAAGAAAAGATTCAAGAAAGTTCATTTTGTTTGAGCAGCGATTATCAAAACATGGAATAAATATAAGAAAAGGATGTATAATAAAACACCGACATGGATCTCACCATTAGAATCCTGTCAAAGAAAGGAATTAGGGTGGATTAAATGGCCAAACTACAAAGAGTTGATAAAAGAAGGGGGAAAAAAGAAACAACTTTGAAACCTCTAAATGAAATTTAAAAAACCTACCCAAACATGACCTGGCTACAATATAGGCAAATTCAAGAATTTTATGGTAAGGATAAAAAAATTGGATTCAAAACAAAGGGAAATATATGGGATAAAATATGGGAAATAGAGAAGAAGAAAAAATATCTAAAATATATAAAGAATTGTTGAAATGGAGTACGGAAGAAGAAGGAGTGAAAGAATGTATGATAAAGTGGGCAAAAAATGTGGGCAGAGAGATAAGACTAGAAGAATGGGAAACAATTTGGAAAAAGGAAATAAAATATCTAAAGGCATATGACATGCAAGAAAACTGGTCAAAGATATTCTTTAGGTGGTACCTGACACCATATAAACTGACTAAATATTATAAAAATTTAAACCCAAAATGCTGGAAATGTGGGGTAGCAGAAGGAACACTATACCACATGTGGTGGCATTGTAAAAAAACTAGATGTTACTGGAAGGAAATCCAGGCTAAATTACAAGACATTTTGAAAATTCGTATACCCCTTAAACCAGAATTATTTCTATTAGGCATTACAAATATGGAAGTTGACAAAAATACAGATAAACTGATTTTTCTCTCCACCACGGCAGCCAGGATGTGCTTTGCCAAGTTGTGGAGGAAGAAAGAAGTACCAGAAATGGAGGATTGGAAAAGAAAGATGATGGATGTTAGGAATATGGATAGTTTAAGCTACCTATTACAAAGGAGTAAGGGAATAACAGAGACAGGTATTGATTGGACAATATTTAAAGAATACTTAAAATAAATATGATTGATAAGAAAGAAAACAGACAGAAAGGTCTGGATACAGATAAAGATAATATAATACATATAATAGTCAAAACAGAAATGGAAAATAAGACGAAGAGAGAAGAAGGAACGAAAGAAAAGGAAGAAACCAACCTTGAAGAATCCTGGAAGTCAAATGGAAAGAAGAATGAACGAACTTAAACGAACTTTGGTAGTAAAGTGCTTCTGAGGACTATTGCAGAGAATTAATCAGAGCAGGACATTGTTTCCTTATTCAGGGAAGGCACACTGGAACAGCCACGTTTTCAGGCTCCTCCTAAAGACTGCCAATGTGGGGGCTTGTCTGATATCCTTGGGAGTGAGTTCCAGGGTCGGGGTCATGAGTCTTCATCATGAGTAGATATTAGCAGACCATCTTCCATAAATTTGTCTAGTCTCCTAGGTATCCTGTTTCTCCAAGCAACCAGCTTCCTTTGATATCCAATGTTGCATCACCCAACAAAACTTGATATTATTATGCTTTATATTCCTTCCATGAACGAAAGAATAGGGCATGGCTGCCGAAGTAATAGGGGAGATGTGTTGTCAAAGGCTTTCATGGCTGGAATCACTGAGTTGCTGCAAGTTTTTTGGGCTGTATGGCCATGTTCCAAAAGCATTCTTTCCTGATGTTTCACCTGCATCTATGGCAGGCATCCTCAGAGGTTGTGAGGTCACAACATCTGAGGATACCTGCCATAGATGCAGACAAAACGTCAGGGAGAATGCTTCTGGAACATGCCCATACAGCCTGAAAACCTTACAGCAACCTAATAGGGGAGACCTGATTCAGTCAAAATAAAAGCTTAACTTGGTAGCTTTGTCAAGTTGCTGCCAATTCACTTCACAACATTAAGGATAAATCTGAATGAATACCTTGGCATTGCTATGCTGTGTGTACTGGAGGAAAGAGGGCACATATTGTGACAAATAAACAAAATCATTCTTTAGTTCCAAGTTTCATGTATTTTTTTTTCAATCACAATGAATTCCAGTATGATGTCAGCCCCTACACAGAACACTCTAATTTAAACCTGGTGAGAAAAACCCTTTGGGATGAAGTGTATCTCTATTAGAAAGATTGAATTAAGTGAAATTCCACGTATTAAATGTCTCTGGCCATGCTAAATGCTGTTTAAATTCTTTAGTTACACTTCATGTGTACAGCTAGTTAGACCAGAGTTTATTCCTTCGATTTTTTTGAGAAAAGAACATAAATAGGAAACAGAGTCCAAACAATCAGCTATGTCATGAACATTATAAATATTCTATTTTAATTTTGGTTTTCTGCAGAGTTATACCATATTTTGATTATTTTCATTCATTATAAGAAGATTTTCCCCTGACATTAAGCCCAGTCATGTGGGGATTGGTGCTCATCTCCATTTCTAAGCTGAAGAGCTGGCGTTGTCCGTAGACACCTCCAAGGTCATGTGACCAGCATGACTGCATGGAGCACTGTTATCTTCCCGCTGGAGTGGTACCTGTTGATCTACTCACAGTTGCATGCTTTCGAACTGTTAGGTTGGCAGAAGCTGGGGCTGACAGCAGAAGCTCACACCGTTCCCCAGAGTTGAACCTGTGACCTTTCGGTCAACAAGTTTAGCAGCTCAGTGGCTTAACCTACTGCAACATACTTGCAATAATTAATAAAGTACATAATTTCATAAATTTTTTACAGGTAAGTTACTTACAAGTCTTAAATAACCTCAACTATTAGAGCAGGGGTCCTCAAACTAAGGCCCGGGGGCCGGATACGGCCCTCCAAGGTCATTTACCTGGCCCTTGCTCAGGATCAACCTAAGTCTGAAATGACTTGAAAGCACACAACAACAATCCAAACTCATCAGCCAAAAGCAGGCATACACTTCCCATTGAAATGCTAATAAGTTTCTATTTGTTAAAATTGTTCTTCATTTTAATTATTTTATTGTTTTTAAGTGTTTTTGCACTATAAATAAGATATGTGCAGTGTGCACAGGAATTCATTCATGGGTTTGTTTGTTTTTTCAAATTATAATCTGGCCCTCCAACTGTTTGAGGGACTGTGACCTGGCCCTCTGTTTAGAAAGTTTGAGGACCGCTGTATTAGAGAGACACATTAAAATCCAAAACCTTCATTTGGTGTAAGCTTTTGTCAACTGCAGATTACTTGATCAGAGGTATGGAATGTTGTTTCAGAGAAGAAATGGATATGTTTTTACTCTCACAAAAAAGTGGATTTCAAGCACTGTGCTGAGAATTAGATAAAAACACTGCTGGGTATTTTTTTAAAACTACATGCTTTCTTACTGCAACTAACCAGATGTTTATGAGAAACCGATAAGTGAGGAAATAAACAGCCATGACATATTGATGCTGCTCAGAAACTGGCATTGAAGCCATTACTGCATGGAGGCCATCATGATATATAGCTAGTGGTTAACGTATCTTCTATGTAATAGTCTAATTTCTTTTTTGAACCACTTAAGCTAATGACACCTGTAACAGAAGATTCCATATACTAATAATTACACTGTGGAAAAAAATGTATTTTTGTTGTTTCTGCTCTACTTTCCTTGTGTTTCATAGACTGTCCCCAATTTTTGGTGTGGCAGAAAAGGGGAAGACTTCCCTTTATGCACTTTGTATTATGCATAATTCTATATAATGTCTCTCCATGGACACATCTACTCCTAACTAAATTATCCCGAAACACAATACAAGAAAATAAAATTTTGGTTGCCCTTTCTGTATCTTATCTAGATCTATGGTATACCGCTAAGAGAAGTGACAGATCCACACCCAATGAAGCCATGCACTAAATTTGAATAACTTCATGACAATATAGGGAGTTTTATTTTGTTAGAAATTCTAAGCATATAATTTGTTATTTTGATAGCTGCATATACTACTAGATTCATGTTTTAATTAAACTTTTAGCATGACCACAAAATCCCTATCAGAGAATTAATCAGAAGAGAATAGTGGTATTTCAAAGACGTTTGCTAACAAGTTATAACTCTCTCTTTTCCCTTTCTGGAGGATAGAGGATAGTTTTTATGAAATCAGACCTGATCTCTGATGCAAAGTTACAGTTCTGTATTCAGGAACAAAACATTTACAAATCAAGAATAACTTCTGGTAAGACAACCCATAAACCATGTTTATATTCTTTCTTTATATTTACTGATTTTATTAATCTCCTATGTCACTTGGAACTACTTAGTTTTGTTAGCAAATCCTATTACTTTATTTGTAAGTTAAAGATTTCAACTTACTTCCCCAAACAGGGATGTCTTTGCTTTCTGCTTTCATGACAATGGAGGCCATGGTCATTGTTACTGGTATAGCATCAAAGTACGAGGAATGTGGAGCCAGGGTCAATATTGCTGCTTCAGTGGGCAGGGCCTGCCTGCCCTTCACATTTATCCAGTGGAATCCACCAGCAAGCCACATTGTCCTCATGATAGCCTTCAGCAAGAAATCCACAACCCTGAAAATAATCAGAAAACACAGATGCAGAAATATTAGAACAACATTATTACTAGAAAATACCAAGCGCAGGAATAATGCTGTCTGGTTAAAATAAGATTTCATATCAAAGTACAGGCAGTCCCCAAGTTAAAAACATATGACTTACAAATGATTCATAGTTAAGAACGTGGCTGAGACAACAGAAAGTGAGAGAAATCTACCCCTAGGAAGTGAAATTCACTTCTGAAATAGTTATCATGGGCAAAAGGTGTCTTAACTGAAGCTCTTTCATCAATGCATGTTTCCACAACAAGCCAAATTTTTTTGTTTGTAACTTGGGGACTGTGTCTACTTAGGTTCTTCATTTTCTGAAAGTATTTTAAAATGGCATTGTTATGTTGTGCTTAAAAGTGCAAGGGAATTAAACTGTAAAAATGTAAACTGCCTTGGTGAATTTAACTACAGTGTTAATCAAATGCAGATGGTTGCAGCACATTAGAATAGATTTGAACCTCACTTGGGTGAAGGCCATTCTTGCTGCTACCTTTAGTAGTATATTTTGCAGCAATGCATTATAGGATGTTCTTGGGGACCACAATAGGGTACTTCTTGTCATGAGAGGCTAACTATACCTGTCTTCCATTGTCTTTAAAATCAGCAAGAAAAATTCCTTTTATTCAGACAAGGTCTTATAATCAGCACTTATTTCCTCTGGTTTTTGTATGTACCCCATATCCTTCACTAATCAGGAACAATACCCCTTTATCCTGAGATAGAAATACTGGAACAACCAGAAATAAGTAGTCACAGAAGGTATACAAGGCAGTTATTCTAAAAGTAACCAAATCACTTCCAATGTCCATAACTCTTTCACCTCTAGACGTGGGCTATCCTATCAGTGTCAAACACATATAGTGGACCATAGAAGGCAACATCAATAACTCCACTTCCAGTTGATTATAAAATGCACTAAAATCTAGATTTTCTCTAGTAAGTGTGCTTGTGGGCTTCTGTCAACAGTGGAAGGAACCAACAGTGTCCACTCTTCGGGTTATACCTCGCAGATACAGCCAGCCATTTCTCCAATAGTTTCTCCAATGAAAATACAGTATAACAATAAGGTACTTATGAATCGCTGTGTCAGTGTGGTGTAATGGTTTTGTTCTGGACGACGACTCTCAGCCCTAAAATCCATTTTCAGCTGTGGATCTTGGGCAAGCAAGAGAAAAACAAAGACAAAATTCCTCCAAACAAGCCTTGCCAAGAAGACATTGTGATAGGTTCTCCCTAGGATTGTCATAACTTCAAGGCACCAAACAACAGTAACCACCACCATCAAGAATTAAATGGTTTAGAGTGCTCAAAAAGTGCCCCATGTACATTTGTACTGTACTGTAATCCTTATCAAACTGCTATAAAAGAGATGAGTGCTATTCCCATGTCAAATGATGACAAAAAAGGATGCTGACATTCCAGGCAACCTAGCGACCCTGTTGCATTCAAACTGGGCATATTCTGGCTCATAGTTCATTCTCTTACCCTCTATGATAAACTAGCTATTTGATACTATATTGATATTATATTTATAAAATAACATTGTTTATTTTAGCAGCTTTATAACTGTTAAAGTACTATCTGCAATAGAAATACAGGGTGAGTTTCCCTTATCCAGAAATCCAAAACACTTCAAAAACCAAAGCTTTTTGCTCCTGCCAGTCACCCACTTCCACTTTTGGGAAAAGGGGACCTAGTCATATATTACGCAAAGGCCAATGGTAGCTGAGTGGTTACAGAGCAACCCCTTTGGCCGCTGGCTACATCTAGCACAGAGATAATGAAAACATAATGTATAGGGGATCGGGGATTTTCTCCAAGCTTCCTGGCTAGTTTTTGATAATATAGAAGAACAACCAGTAAAGCTTCTGAGACACTTGCTCTTTATAAAAGACTAGTGTAAGCAAATTCCCCCTCAACCTATAATCTCGCCCCACCTTGAGGACCTGTGAATAGCCCCATTTCCTCCTTCCCAATTCCCCATTCACTATGCAAACACAAAATAGGTGTCCCAAAATCTCAAAACCTGAAATGCAAAAAAACCTTCTTGTCACAGTCATTTCTAATAAGGACTTAACCTGTAATATTATAAGACAACAAATTTGGAGATGGAGAAAAGTATACTATGATGAAGATAACTATCCCACACATCCTCCTAATTTGGAAAAAAACCCATTAAAGTTTGAATGTTCTCTCTTACTAAATGTTTACCAAAAGATTATATGTCCTAAATCCTTCTAGCTTTACTTGCCCTGCAGTATCACCATATTTGCAGCCAGGGAGTAGAGATCTCTCTAGTGCTTACAGACACCAGTTGCTGTTATGTAATCTCTTTGTTTATGTATTTGTAAGCCCAAGTGACAGTAGCACTGGACTCATTTGCTTCTCCAAAGTGAGGATTTGATTAAGAGTAAAATGATCAAAGTTCTTCAGTATGTGTAAGCCCAGATAGTTAAATGACTTCCACTACTGTTAAGGAACTGCTCCAAGTGTATCACTTGCAGCACACTCTTTGCTATATTATTTCTCAGATGACTGTATCATGATTTAGGAAAGACAACACAGCTCCACAGCTATGTTGCATTTCTGCCCAATCAGATGTACCCTGTGTTAATCCTGGGATTAGCACTAAAGAGCGCAGCACGTAGAGATAACAAATGGAAAATCTTTCGGAGGAAGCACCACCCCCAAGATCTTGTAAACACTTCCGGCAACTCATCTTTGGGTACCAAATAAAGAAGTTAAGTCGTTTATTGACTGTCCACAAGGCTGAGCACACACATTATACTGAAGATTCGTTGTGTAGGAGAAAGGAAAAGTCTGAAGAAAAACATTACTCCTTACATATAAAGAAATAATTTATATAGATAAAAAAACCCAAACACCTGCTTCAGAAGAGGTATCTTCAGCACAGAAGGTGTGAGAAAGCAGAGTGTGATTAACCATGTTCATTCTGTACCAACTCACTAGTGATAAATGAGAATGATTCATGCATCAGTCATGCATTTTTAAGTGAACTGACCAGATCTGCAAATTTCAGATTAATGCACAAATCAGAATACACACTTTCTTTGGTTTCTGTACTTCTCTGAATTTTGTGACTGAGGTGTTGACTCAAAATTGTTCACTATATATAAAAAAACAGCCCAGTCCTTGGTATTTTAAATAAAGGAGCTCAAAAGTTTTAACAAAAGGGTCTTATCACACAATGTTGATACATCATGAAAGTGTTGCATTGGTCTTGCTTGTGCTTCAGCCATATACCATCAACATTGTTGCTCTCCAGATATTGTTGCATCCAGGGTCATTGGAAATTCGTTTTTCCCCCAAACAGGACATAAACTGTTAATGACCCCCTTTCCCCACAATTCAGTAACCTTTTGGGATGCAGATATCTCATAGAGCTTTTTTTCATAAATGAGCTATTGATGGGCACAGCAAGGGGGCCTGGTTATGTTATCTCTCCCTCAAGGATTCCCTTTAGGAGAAAGCTACAGACTACTTCTAGGGAAGATGACTTCATGATTATGGTAATCTTCACCCTCCTCGTATGATTCTTTTTGTTTGCTTTTATATCTTCATAACATTATAGCACATCTTATTGTTGTACCATTTTGTAGTCACAGCATTATTACATCTACAACAAAATGGACAAACTAATAACAAAATGAGGGATAAGGTAAAGGAATTGGTAATGACACCATTGTTGTTGTTCATTCGTTCAGTCACTTCCGACTCTTTGTGGCCTCCTGGACAAGCCCACGCCAGAGCTCCCTGTCAGCTGCCACCACTCCCAGCTCCTTCAAAGTCAAATCAGTCACTTCAAGGATAACATCCATCCATTTTGCCCTTGGTCGGCCCCTCTTCCTTTTTTCTTCTTTATTTTCCCCAGTATCACTGTCGTCTCCAAGCTTTCCTGTCTTCTCATTATGTGGCCAAAGTACTTCATCTTTGCCTCTAATACCCTTCCCTCCAGTGAGCAGTTGGGCTTTATTTCCTGAAGTATGGACATAAAGCCCAACTGCTCACTGATGACACCATTAATATGGTTGAAAAAGGTATACAAATGATGCATTTAAAGCACAAATGTAGCAAGAGCGCTATAGAGAGTGTTACCAATCAGCTATCTTCATGAGATTGGCTGGAAGAGATTACAAATGGAGTAATATGGTATAAATAAGTAAATGTCACAAAGGACCACAACCTTAAGGTCTGATTAGATTGACAGGTCTTAGCATTACCAATCAAAAATGTCATGGAACTTGGGTTTATTTCTTTTCTCAAGATATATATTTTATTGTAGTAAAGAAGTAATAGGGAAACAAGGGAAAGTTACAAATGAAAGAGGATTTCATTTGGACCTAAACACACCCACCCCCCATAAAATTCAGTGGGTGTGGTGTAGTGGCAACATACTAAAGATCTTTCCTGGAAAAACTCTTAACTCTCCACTACGCAAAACGAGTCAAGTGTTTGGTTTTGCAATTGATCGATTTCACAGTCAAAATAAATATGTAAACTAGCAAACTATGCCAAAAGCACTTGAGGAATTACATTCCAGGGAGATGTTAAATGGACATAGTGACTTACTTTCGCCACCAGGAGAGGGGCTGTTCTAATTCTTTATCAGCAACTCCTATGGATGCGATGAACGCAAAAGGCCAGGCCAATAACATCATAAAAGCGGCAAAGAACAGCCGGATGGGGAACACGGTCAATGTCATGAAGGCAATCTGTAAAAATCCAAAGAATTTAGTTCTTTTAACATTGGACTGGCGACAGATACAAGTTACACAGTATTTGTAGAAAATGTTACCATTGCTGATGATCACAAAAAGCAATGAACAGTGAACACATGTCACAAAACGTGTTACATGAATGTTATAGTCATAAAAATTATATAATATCTTTGGAGAAATGTTTACCTTTTCTGATGAATACAGAAAGCAATGAATATATGTCCCAAAATACGGTGCATGCTTATTTATTTATTTATTTATTTACTGTATTTATATACCGCCTTTCTCACCCCTTGGGGGACTCAAGGTGGTTTACAACATTTTAATGGCAAAAATTCAATGCCAACATACATGTAAAACAAATCATATTAAATGAAGCCTCCAACACACAAAGATTGAAGAGTAATCTGAAATGTGAGTCCAGTATGACACAACTGAGTTCCCAATAGTACATCTCCACATTTTCTGCTCCATGCCTAACAATATTTGCATCGTCAATTTCTCCAAACTGAATCACAAAACTCAAAATAGGTCAAATAGATCAAAATAGGTCAATTTTTAATGTGGGATTTGGGGGGAGGGGTTGTATTTTTAAAGTCACTACTGACAACTTGCACAAATGTGGTTTACAGTAGGTAAACACTGTGCTAGTTACAAACATCAGCTCACACAAGCATTCAATAGGTTAACACTTTTATAGAAATGGATCCTTGATAATAATGGTACACACACACACACACACACACAGGATATTATTGCCATGGAAATTTAATAATAATAATAATACTAAAGATCTTGCCCTGCATTTAAAAACAATCGGCACTGACAAAATTACCACCTGTCAGCTGTAAAAGGCCACCCTACTCGAATCTGCATGCATTATTCGCTGATACATCACATCGTCCTAGACCCTTGGGAAGTATCTGACGTGTGATCCAATACAACAGCCAGCATAGTGATCTTGTTTGCTGTGTACTAATCTTGTTGTGTATCATATAATCATCACCATCATCATCTTTATTTATATCTCGCCCCCTCTCTGAATAGGGCTGCTGGTCTATTTGTTGCAGGTAATGATCAGTCCATGACAACTGAACTGTAGAATGTTCTTCCACACTACCGACATCTTCATCCCATCCCACATTAAACACCAAGTTCAATGTGTGTCCAGCATTATGGGTGGGCCCAGATAAGATTTGGGACAGCCCCACGGTTGTCATGGAAGCCATGAAGTCCTGAACCACTTCTGAAAGGGCAGTCTCAGCGTGGACGTTGAAGTCCACCAGCACAATTAGTTGTTGGGACTCCAACACCAGGCCCAAGACCACTCCGGCTAGCTCAGGAAAAGGAACAGAGATTTAACTCTGCTTGGAAATTCTTAAAGATTTGAGCTTACAAAGTCATGTACATATCCAGTTGAAAGAAGTGAGAAAATGTTTATGGTTCTTGATGCCTACAGAAATAAGGAGGGCCCTTTTTTCAAAACACAATACATTTCAATGGTATAGGTGTATAGATGCCTCATTTTAGGACTTTTTATAGTCCTAACTCAGGTGATTCTAAACCTTTTTATTATCTGTTAAGATACAAAACACAAGAATTATTTATCAATTTAAATATTTCTATCTTGTTTTTCATTAAGGTGATGTTATTCTAATAGTAGTAAATTACCCTTCTACAAATTGATAAAACAGATCTATAACGCCAATATCCAAATTCCCATAGGTTTATAAACTACTCTATGCCTAGACTATAAAATAACAGTTCTAGAGAATATTGCTTTTTAATAGGAATATATACTAGTTTGGTGGAGTATTTGACTGACGTTTAACTATGAGAAGCAATTATAATTTTGAAACAAAGCTAGAAGAGAATAAGTGACATCCATTAGCAAATATGTGGAAGTATCCGCAGCAAATATGTGGAGGTATCCACAGAATATATAAACTAAAACCAATAGATGTTTGAACATACTATATTGTATTTTGACTTAAACTGAAAATACAACTTGTAGAGTGCAGTTCCTCTGAAGTTTACATCCCATTCTGGAGCACTATTCAAAAAATCTCCCAAGTCTCTCTCTTAAAAGAGAGAGTGCCAAAATACACCAAAATCCGTGCTGTCGTGGTAACTGCCTCCATGGGGGGTAGCTCCTGTGGGATATCTCTTGGCCCAATTTTAGGTATCCCACTTTTATTCTACCATTCTTTTGCAGTAAAAGAGCAACATCGATAAAGGGATTTCATGTTATCCTTAGAACAACCCTGCCTACAACTATTCTGCCCAGCATACCACATTGGATTGCGTAGTGCAGCTGTCAGATTTGGAGAAGACAGAATTTGTATTTATTTCAGTTGGAAAAATAAGAAGTTTTAGATCTCAGACAAATCCTGTCATGGGTTGCCACTATTGTCTTCACATAGCTAACAGCATCACTAACTTTTCTTGGCATAATTAACTTCTGCTCATCCCTGCTACATAGCACGATGATAATAATTGCTCTTATAGGTAGTTCTGATTCAAGATATTAAGGGCACTGACAATAATCATACGTACAAGTAGTTAGCAACAGCAGTTTTTTGTAATATTATTGTAAAACCATAATCAGAAGAGAAACATGAAGTGCCTGAAATTAATCCCTCATTTGAATTCAGTTTCTTGCCAAATTCTCTGCATTATTTGTATTTGCAGCATTTAATAGCTTAGTAATTATTTAAACCGATGTAAAGATATTGTTACTTTATTTTTATTTTATCTTCACAAATAATCTTTTAATAAAAGAAAGCACACATACCAATAGAGATCTGACACCAAAGATCTCTGTAATTTCATCTAATTACATCCTAAACCCAAGCGCACAAAAAATGTTCTAACGCTTCAGTGACCTGGAACACTACTTGTTTTCTCTGTAGAGAGAAGCCTGAACTTTCTTCTTGTATGAGTAGTAAAGACAATTAAGAGAACAGATACAGGGTTAGCACTACAATTTAAAATCTAAAGAGGCATGAATGACCTCCTAAACCTGACATCTTTTAAAAAACAGTTATGTAATTAATGTAAATAAAAATGCACAAGTTATTTCACCATTTTTATTCAGTGATCCCTTTTTCCTGAATCTCATCTGCATACTAGATAGATGATAATGAAGGTTACAGGCCAGGATGAAAATGTTAGACTGCACCTAACCTCTGCATGCAGACCACACTTTTTCTGGCAGAGAAAAGGGGGCGAATGTTTTTCTTGCAAGTACCTACCAATGTGGACTTTCTTCTTAGGATGCAGGGATTTTTTTCCGAGTCAGGAGCAACTTGAGAAACTGCAAGTCACTTCTGGTGTGAGAGAATTGGCCGTCTGCAAGGACATTACCCAGAGGATGCCTGGAGGCAGGCCCATGGCCAGGATTTTCATTCGGGGGGGGGGGGGGCTGAGTTTGATTGGGGGGGGCTGAGTCTGAGTGAAAGAGGGTCTACCCTAGCAAACCTTTTGTACTGTTACCCCAATACCCCCATGCATATGGGATATATTGAGCATGGTGATCAGATCATGATATGAATAAACATAACAGTTTAAATAAAGTACCAGTAAGGCCTTCTCGCGGACCACCATGAGAATTTTTGGGGAGGGGGGCTGAAGCCCATCAAGCCCCCCCCCCCCAATACATGCCTGCCTGGAGGTTTTTTTTTAATGTTTTACCATCTTTGTGGGAGGCTTCTCTCATGTCCCTGCATGGCAAACTGGAGCTGACAGAGGGAGCTCATCCACACTCTCCCCGGATTTGAATCTCTGACCTGTCAGTCTTCAGTCCTGCCAGCACAAGGGTTTAACCCACTGCACCACTGAGGCCTCCTAGTGTGGATGGACACTTCTCTTAGGGTGCAGGGATGCGCTGCATGATTCAACATTACAAATACTCATCTTTCAAAACCAGACATAGCCTTCTGGACACTTCCACAGATACTTTTGCATTTTGGACAATCTATGTTGTTTCTAGAGGTCTCTAAGGCAGAAAAGCTGACACCTGGAACTGTCAGACTTGTCCAAAATCACTGTAAACTTAAAGAAGGAGTAAGCATAGTCCAGTTTTCTGGATATTGCTGGGCTGCAGCTCCTAACATTACTTGCTCCTGCTCCTGCCTAAGGGCTGCTGGGAGATGCAGTTCAGCAGCATTCTTCTTTAGACATTATGTTATAGGCAGCCATAACACAATCAAGCGATTTCATAAGCTAGTGAGCAAGACCATCATTTACACTTCCTTTATGTGAATATGTCCCTAACTGCACAATGATTGCAATTTTGTGGCAAAGATATTTCACTTTAGGCACTGATCTTTGTTCACAGTTTCAATATCCCCAGTTTCACTTATCCATGCGCCAAAAATATTCCTCTCTCCCAAAGTGTTAGTCGGCCTCTCTAGATCATCCATTGTAATCCGATGGTATTCTTCCAATATCCAGAGAGACTAACAAACCTTCAATTTCTAGGCTTCTCTAGATCCTCCAGTGTTATTCTATGGTAGTGTTTCTCAAACTGTGCTCTTCCAGGTGTTCTGGACTTCAGTTCCCAGAAATCTCAGTCAGCTTACCAGCTGTTAGGAACTGAAGTCCAAAACATCTGGAGGAGCTGAGTTTGAGAAACTTTGTTCTATGGTACACTTCCAGCCCCAGGCTTATTATTATACCCATTTTCAGGTATCCACTGGGGTAGTTGTTTTGGAACATATCACCTATGGATACAGGGATCATACTGTATATTTCATTTTTCTCTGATGACTGCAGAATTAAGGTGTCAAAATAAACAGTGGATTTTTAAAAAAAGACAACTACAATTCCAATGCAATCAATCATACAATACAGGTCCCATGAGCTGTTTTGCTCTTGCTCATATTGCTTTATATGTTTTTATAGGCTTGGTTCTTTTGTTTGTTTGTTTTTTGAGAGGAGGTAGACTATGAAAAGTCTGACTAAAGGAAAACAATTAAGATGTTAAACCAGAT